CCTAATGAACCACACAATGGTGACAGTCAACTATGAAGTCAGGCATATCACACCTAATGAACCACACAATGGTGACAGTCAACTATAAAGTCAGGCATATCACACATAATGAACCACACAACGGTGACAGTCAGCTATAAAGTCAGGCATATCACACCTAATGAATCCCACAACGGTGACAGTCAGCTATGAAGTCAGGCATATCACACCTAATGAATCCCACAACGGTGACAGTCAGCTATAAAGTCAGGCATATCACACCTAATGAATCCCACAACGGTGACAGTCAGCTATAAAGTCAGGCATATCACACCTAATGAATCCCACAACGGTGACAGTCAGCTATGAAGTCACCTAATGAATCTTTTGTTTGTAACACTTCTCTTACACTCATTTATTCTAAATTTAAGTTTCTTCTAGTTTGACCAACGTATGCACGACCACATTCACGTTGAACTTTATATAAACCATTTTTTATCCATCAGATTTATTTCCTCTTTGGTTTTAATATTTGACAAATTTTATTCCATCATCTGTAAACGGCAAAAAAAGATTTTTGTTTTCTTCTTTGAATTTATTAAAAATTTAATGTGACAAATCTGGGATGTATGGTAAAAAAAAAGATTTTTTTATCTATTTTATCAAATGTTGATTTTAGTTTACTTTTGTGTTCAACGTTTATTTTCTTAAATTTCCTCAACCGATTAATATCATTGCTAGAAATATTAGAGAAACACAACAAAAACAACTTGATTTTAAATAAGGATGAAAGGTACATAGATGGTGTGATTTTCTTTTTTGAATTATAAACTAAGTCACATGACCGTGGCTTTTGTCCTTATATAGCACACTGTAACCTTTCTTCACACTCTTGAAGATGATGTCAAACCACGCTAAAACATGAAGAGTGACTTTTACAACAGTTGATCGGTTTAAGTAAAGATTTTAACTGTGTTTTATAAAACATTGTTCATTTATGGATTTTAATATTTTAAATAAATACACAAATTCTTTGAATTGTAACATTTTTAATATTAAGGAGTTCAGTCTTCTTTAATCTTAGAAAACCTGTGCTTTTCCACAAATATCAACACCGGTGAAAGAAAAAATTAGCATTTTAGGTCAAGAACCAAACTTACCTTGTGCTGCTCCTGACCTGTTCACTGAGCTGCTCTCAGATGTCAGAGTTTCCATTAACCAAGGCATCAGATCCTCAAAACTGGCTTCTCCAATGCCCTTTACCATTGCTCCTAATGCTCGAGCAGAGACACTTCTCACCTGTTAAAGAAATAACCAATCAGATAATCAGAAGATCACTTAGATAAAAAACGTTCAGTTCATCTACAGTAAATGGAAGATTCTAGAGATAAACAAGAGGGAATTCTCAAATAGCCATGGCACTTGAAATACTTTTAGGCAGGATTAGAGCAAATTAATCTATGAGAACTTTTTCCTTTACATTAGTTATATTTTTGTGCACCAGTGTGGGGCGTCTATATACCCGATTCAATTTTATTACTCATCAGGATCTCTACCAGCCTACCCTCAAATTTAAATTATTTTAGACAGGATTAGAGTAAATTAATCTGTGAGACCATGGGCATGGTCAAATACATCAATTTAAAGGGTTTGACCTCCTGAGTCCAAACCTGTAATTAGATATCAGATTGGTCAAGAGCTGACAGAGCTATGAACTGAAAGTTTGTATTTGAAAAAATAAACAAAAAACTCAGAGCCATCTAAAAACATTCAATAAATCTACTGCAAACGGAAAAATCCTAGAGAAAAAAAAACATCATTTAAATCATATTGAGAAGGGGTTCTCAAACTTAGTTATAGTAAACGGCATTTCCCCATGGCTTATGTTTTTAAAGATTGTATGGGAAAAACCCTCTAGCATAAATCTGATGTGTCATGGTTGCAGCTTGGTAAGATAAAGAAAACTTGCTTGCAATGTTTTTCTCTTTTAATTTGGCTATTTTTCTAACAATGTTGTTGTTGTTTGTTTATTGTTAAGCGCAAAGCTACACAATGTGTTTTGCTCACTGTGGGTATCAAAACAAGATTTTTAGTATTATAAGCTCTTAGACTTAGTGTTGAGTCACCAGGGGGCAAATGGTTTTGACTAAATTTCATCATACTGATTCTCTTTACAAACCCAAGTGAGATAGTAAAAACATTGATCATTTGTTTTACATATACAGTGAAAATTGTAATGATAATAATGCATATAAACATTTCCAGTTTTAGAGAAGCACACAAATAAAATACCGCCAAACGGCGTCAAAATGAGTATAAACAAAACAGCACATAATTTTAGACAGATCTTAACTTATTTCAATTTGGTCCTACTTCAGCCTTAAGTCTTCACAAAGAAATAGGACAAATACTATTTATTTTAAACTACCACAATTCACTGAAACTATAAGATTATATAATAACTTACCTCAGGTACAGGGTCAAGTAGAGACTGTTTCAATCCAGGAATAATTGTCGGTAGATAGGGGGACAAATCCTACGAACAAAAATCTTCCGAGTCAAAATGTACATTATCCAACCCACTTTGAATAAAACAAGTTAAAACCTAAATTTAAGTCAAAATGTAACTGAATGTAAAAATACACACACACAGTTCTAGTGTTTAAATACGAATACTTTAATAAATAGAGAAATGAAGAGTTCAGAGGTTGACTACATTTTATTAAACTGATTTTGGAGCCTCATGTTCATGGAAGCAACTTGTATAGCTTTCCCAGACAGAGAGGAAAGCCTTTTTGATTACGTTGCTTATTGCTTCTTCAGACACCTCAAAAGCTTTTTTTTCACTGCTTTTGTGTTTATGGATTCTGATCTGTTACAAAATGCTGCACACAGCTGGAGTATAACTTGATGCAGGTTTCTTTCTGAATGGCCCGAGTGCCCAAAGTTGATCAATATTCTATTGTTTTCAATGCCACTTGGAAACTCTAAATCCCATATACAAAAATATCTTTATGATCTGAGCATATGAATATTTTGAGTTGAAAAGGGGTTGTTATACAACCTTCCCAAGGGTTGTATCAACTTTTGGCAGTATCAAAGTAACTATGAAATACTAAAAATTGTCAAAATGTAGTTCTGATACAATCTGTTCCACCACAACTCTGTATCAGTTACGTTTGTCATGTGACTTGCTGATTTACATATTCAAAATCATTTTAATAAATCATATCCAACCTTCTGTATTTCAGAGGTGTATTTACTGAAAACTACAGCCATAGGTATTTAAATTAAAAAATATCTTTCATGTATGGTGATTAAAAATATGTCTTATGTAGTGAAAAGAAATGTTTTAAGTTAATCAATTTTTAAATAATGAAAGGAGACATTTGGCTTATTATGTTGTTTCCAGTGAGTGGAAACATCTGCCTAATGTATTATATCATACATATCTAGCTTATTAGATGATATGTTTGAAGAGAAACATCTAGTTGGTCTGTTAGTTACTTTATATGATGAAGAATATTATTTGATTTATTAGATCCTAGATGAGAAAATGAGGTTTTGAGGAGAAAGAGAACATCTCTAGGTTATATATTACAAGTATTTTGTGATCCATCTATCTTTTAAGCATTCTGTTTGTATATTGTTACAGCAATTGTTCCTGTGTTGCTTGATGCTCTCCAAGATCCATCTAAGAAAACAAGCACTTGTCTGGCCATCCTGTTAGATACAAAGTTTGTACACTTTATAGATGCCCCATCTTTGGCATTAATCATGCCTGTTGTACAGAGAGCCTTCCAAGATAGGTCCACAGAAACTAGAAAGATGGCGGCTCAGATCATTGGCAATATGTATTCTCTCACTGATCAAAAGGTTTGTTTATGGCTGTATTCTCTCACTGATCAAAAGGTTTGTTTATGGCTGTAGTTTTCAGTAAATACACCTCTGAAATACAGAATGGACATAGCACGGGTAGCCCGTTGTGTAGCTTTGTGCTTAACTACAAAAATATATAATTTTGTTTTAGTTTCTAATTCATTTATTTATTATTTTAATTTTTTCATTTCAACTAATTTCTTTTTAAATCTTCGTTAACTAAAAAAGGTATGTTAGAGGTATGTTATTTGTAGCTAATTTTTTTGTTGTCGAAATGATACGGTGCATTCCGGCACATCGTTTCTGTGAGACTCAAGCACTCCATGAGTATCAAAATCTGGTTTTTTTAGTGTTGTAAAAAAAACAAACTCACAACACTAAAGAACTATGTTTTATGTTCAGAAAACATATTTGAATATCTTTTTATCTACTGTTAAAACTACAAAACTTATCAGCTGATCATATTGTGCTGTAAAAGGAATGTCCTATCTGGGTTATGGAGAGACAGCCACTGTTGTAGAACTATTCACTACTATGGTCGTGGTGACTTGAAATTCTGGGTTCATATTAAACTGTGGGAAATTTCCCAAGTAGATAAAGTTACTTTCTGTCATTTGTTTAAATGAAGTGAAAATAAAACATCTATTAAGGAGAAAAAAAATCTAGATTAATCAACATGAAAAATAGAGTGCATTAAAACTCTAATTAACATGAGCGAATTTTTTGCAGACGTCTGACGTTAAATCGAGAAGTGAAGCTTGGGTTCTACAGTAAAGAGGGAGCCAGCTGTAACAGGAGTGTGTCGCTCTCCTATTGGTGGAGGGTTGTCACATGCTACAACTCAGTTGAAATACATTGAAACATGGGGTAGTTTCAAGGCTAGTGGTGAGTGAAAACATTTGTACATATAGAGGGCAGCACTGAACGATAAAAGTTATTATGTGAGAGGAGGCAAGATACATAATCGGAAGTTTCCCTTCATTATAGAAGATCTGATAAACCAGACACGTCTCCCTCACTATACGAGATCTAAGAAACCAGAGATGTTTTCCTCCATCATATAAGATCTAAGAAACCAGAGATGTTTTCCTCCATCATATAAGATCTAAGAAACCAGAGATGTTTCCTCCATCATATAAGATCTAAGAAACCAGAGATGTTTTCCTCCATCATACAAGATCTAAGAAACCAGAGATGTTTTCCTCCATCATACAAGATCTAAGAAACCAGAGATGTTTTCCTCCATCATACAAGAT